ATGAATTGTGGGAACACATTTTTTTCTCAATCAATTTCTGATTGAACTGATCTTATTCGAAATGAAAGTACTGAGTTACAAGGTTTTAAAAAAAAAATCCATCATTATTATTATTATACATCCAGTATGCTGCTAAAACCTTTTCATTTGCATGTTTTTTCATAGTTCATATCCTAACAAGTTCTTCGACTTACGGTATAAGTCTAGTCAAGACTGGTGGAGAGGCGTGTCCCCGAGCCTGACATCTGTCTGTATCGCTTGTAGCTGTGAAGGAAACACCAGCTAGTGGCCCCGCTATCACATCAGGGTTTGAAAAGAGACATTCCTCCTGCAGGCTTGAGTGATGCCAGACAGAAAAACTGCAGGCACGTTACCCAAACAGTTCTTACAACACATAGTGATGTGTAACGTAATCGTTTTCAGAACCTCGTTATGTGCTCTTTCAACATATTGAAAGGCATAAACAAGTGTGATTCCAGCAGTAAATTCAAACTCCGCTCATCCAGAAAATGAAGGGGCGCATAAATGGAAACCCCCCCCACATATGGAACAGTGAGCTGGAATGGTATACCACAACTTACTTGGAATGGTACAACACCACAGCTTATCATTAAATACAAAACAATGGGATCCATCAAGAATAAGCCAGGCACAGCATGAGGACCTCTTCAATGACAGGCCTGCAGTGTGAGCTCTGATGGGCCAGAGCACTGATGGATTCCTTATGTTCTCGGTTGCAAGCTGATCGCTGAGGTAGCAACAGGAAAATAACAGAGAGGGGGAGTGTTATGGGGTGTGTTTGATATAACTGTCGGAGTGTTGCAGGGTGATGTAATCCCCAGTGAAGAGCTCTCTGTTCTGTAGCAAGTAGGCTAGCTTGTTCAGTTAAGTGAATATGTACACTACTGGCCAATGGGACAACCTTGTATCCAAAGAATCAATTACAATGAATGTACACATCTGTAGTGCAACACAACATGCCAAAAGACTCTCATGGACTTTACTTAATAACACTGATTTTAAGACGCATGTAAAGTGAAATCTCTCTTCAAAGATATACCCAAGTAAAACCATTCTATGCATGGACATGCATGGTCTCTTTCTATTATTGATTTTTAACACAGGTGAATTCTAAGCATATATTGTACCGTCAAACTGCTTTGAAGCAAAACTAGCAGCAAGGACCTGAAGCACTGCTCAGCAAGGGGAAATGTACACTCTCCACACTGCTAGTACTGGTCCAGCACTACTGCAGACATCCTGACTAGTCAGATCTGAAGGAGGATCTGGCCAAAAACAGAACTGGTGTCTTTTTTTTCTTTCACATGCAAATCATACAAGTTCGACTGCATGCAGATCTATGATGTACTGTAGATACATAGATACTAAGCTTCACTCCAATTAGGCGGACTTCTGCTAGGTCTAGGATTCAGGCTCTGCTGAGGGAACCACTATTCTCTATAGTGCAGGTCTGTTAGTACTGCAAGAAGACAGGCATACCATGAAGGAGTAACTTTGGAGTGAAAAGGCAATTTAATCTCTATGTAAGTCAAAATATATACCTAATTCCTGTTATCTACTCTTACTTCCAATTAAGTACAGCATATCCTTCAATTGGAAGACTATCATTTAAATGCAGTTGATCTGCTTTTGTGTGTATAGCCAGAATTAAATCTTTAACAAGGAAAATAACTACAAAGTTGGGCTTATCTGCCACCTTTCAATCCCTAATATTTTACCTGATAGTGAGACTTGTATTTTTATACCAAGATCAGTCAACAGATTAGATTCAAACAACAAATTAATGATACATACCTTCAGTAAAATATAAACTGAGTGAGTTTTTGTTTTTATTAAATGTAGCCAGCTATACCAAATACAGGTTAAACGTTTTGGTGCAGAGCTCAGCGTGCCATGTGTTACACTTCTGTTTATGACAGATATCTATGACTTTACCTGCATGCAAGTAACTCTGCATCCCCCCAAAAAAACAACATGAGTGGTTTGATCTGTTGCTTTTTTATATTTTTTTCTTTCCTAGTTTTTAAAAGAGGAATGTACTAGCAAAATCTCAGAGCAGGATGCTACATTTTGCACATGCTAACACCTCTCAGTTCAATCCAGACAGGTGGGATCGAAACTGGAAATTTAAAATAACCCAGTTCGGAGGCGCCAGCTGTTTGCGACTCAGTTTTAAGGCTCCAAACTCACAATCCCCTTTACTCCAAGTGGAGAATAAAGAGCTGTGGGTCTGCTCCTGGAACAGCCTCCACTGTAACCTATTGTCATGGCTAGATCAGGACTAAGCTGAATGTTCTCTGTACAGGTTCAGCTTAAGTGATAAGAAAGTAAAACTATTTCTCTGCCTTATGTAGGCCTCTATGTAACAGCAATGTTTTCAATTTAGCTTTCCAGGGCACAGCAGACTTGGTTTGGTCTGACTGGGGAAGCTACAGGTTGGCATGGGACCGGAGATAACAAGACTGCTTTCTAAGACGTTTGTGAGATGAGGCACAAACCTACTACAGTATATACACCACACGTATCTCTGTCACGGCCTGTGTATTGAGGACCAACTGTCCCCTTAAGGCAACACCATTATATTAAATGCCAGTGTTGTTAGCCCAACCATCATTTACTAAATCACCTACCAAAAAAGAACATGTAGCAGGAAATGCAGTCAGCAAGGAACCAGACAAAAAAGGAAAACAATGATCTAAAACCACTCCTTTCACGTCTATCCCACTTCAGCATGAGGTCAACACTGTGGGAGTTTGTTTACCCCTTGGGGATTGAAATAAGGAGCCTGTTTATTCATGGCATCCTATCCCTTATTTGGTCACTCTAAGCAAGAGGGTGGCATTATCACAAAAAAGCATAGGACATTTAATTTAGGTATATGTACAACATGCTTAGAAAAGTAGCTGTCCTGTTTAAACCACATAGGAAAACTGCAGCGTGGATTAATCAAATCTGGTATAATCTGATACACGTACAATTAGGACAACTGGCAGAATACAGCAATGCTGACTGAGGTGTCCCATGCCCCCCAGAAGCAGTACACTTTTCCTCGAGAATGAAACTGAACAGCACAGATTCTGTGACAGCTTCCTATGGTGTGTACTGCCAATATCTCGAAGATGTATACCCCATGGTTCCAACTACACTCATCTCCTGGCACAAGTTTCATGCGAAAGGTATCTGAGTAGTACAGTAGTACAAGCTTAAAAGCATTCTGCACATGCCTGGACAAAATATTTATTTTCCTTTACTGAATGGTAAAAAAGAGGATGTTGCTGATTTTAGAGATTTAAAAACAAGGCTTAAGATACAACAGGGACACTTTAGTTTAATAAGCAGGTATGCTTCATGTTTCATTACAAGGCAACTTGGGGATTAAGAATTTCCTAATTCAATAACTAATGACAACAAAAATAGGGTCTACCAAGGTCTTTCAATGCATAGAACATCCAGAGACTTTACTGGAGGGCTGGCTCTATTTTGTTATGGTGGTAAAGGAATCACGGATTCTCTGTTCCAGACAGAAGGCTGAGAAGGCAAGGACGTGACGGTCGGCAGTGAACTTCATGCAGTGATGTGGCATTCGGCTAAATTTAAAGATAAGGCTAATTACGGTTGTCTCTCAGAAGGGGCACCCGATTCAACAGCTCTTACTTAACAGGAAAAAAATGTAAGAGCTTCCTTCTGGATTTTAAAATTAAGCTCCAGTTTTCCCCCCAAGCGTCTGAAAAAGGTATTTTATTTTTACTAATGAGGGCAGAGCTAGTCCTTTCTGCGCACAGAAACCGAACAGCTGAATGCAACTGTAAAATATGCAAATTACACACTCAGATCAAGGCACAGTGTTAAGTTTTATTCTTTCCCTGTTATAATATACAGCAGTAAAAAATGTCTGTGTATTTTGGCTAGCTGGTGTTTGCAAAAAATGCAACTGATTACCTACATGAACCTTCACTGCTGTAAAAATCGGACACCTGCTGCTCATTTATACCGTATTTATTTATTAAACCAATGCTACCATATATCTGAAATTGGGGAATTCTGTGATATAGGCTGAGAGGTAATCATAAGAGTGCAAGGAAAATAGATCCTATAACAGCAACATGGCTGTGGCTTGTTAGTCTATTCCCTTCTTCACCTAGACCACATGGCAAAGGGTCTTATAACACACAACAGTGATTAGCAGGATGGGACTGTGAGCCTTTAAAGTTATCTTCAAATACAGTATACTCCTCTTAAACACATTTTCATATCACATCAAAAATGAGAGGAACTGAGCTGATATTTATCAGTTTTAATTCAATTGCCTACTACACCTTTACCGTCATGCTAAAACTATGCACTCCATCCAGTATCGGTTGCAAACAATGTCAACATTTTCTGACAATCTGAAATGAAATGTCAAGAATGCCAAAACCTGACACCGCTGAGGAACACATCTGGTTTGTTCTGTATGTTTTCGGAAAGCGCACAAGTTTTTCTCGGAATTAAAAAAAAATCTACAAGCAAACTGCACCCATGACCGTAAGAACATTCATGATCACACCCACAGTGCCTGGCCTTTTCCAAGCCTGCCTCGGCACAGCCAGCAGAGGAGCACTTACACTGGCAGGAGATTAAAGAAATGTGTCAGATAAAAGGATCATTGCTTATTTAAGAGAAAGGGCATCTGCTTGCCAAACATGAAGCCACAACCTCAAAAGAGTTTAATCGGTATTATCAAGAAATGAAAAATTCACATGCTCTAAGGTGACATCAGTATTACATTATGTTTTTTCTTGCAAGCGTGCATTTGTGTCTAAAAGTTAAAGACAACAAAAACATCTACGTACACTAGGTCAATGTCACTTCCCAACAGGAAAAACTCCTTGTCAATGTCCATGTTAAAAGGAGCACCTGCCCAAAATGAGTGAAGAAAATGCCTCATTTTCAAGCAACACTAGGCAGGCATTATGAATACAGTATCCATTTCTGTTTACCTTAATGAAGTTGTTCAGATGGCCCAGCTTGCGCATGTTTGTAACTCCTTGTGGTTTGGCCACATTTTGAAGAATTTCCCGTAAGTTGTCGGAAGGTTCTGTAAAACAAAGCAGTCATTAGTATATCAAAGGTGTACAACAAAGCAAGCAGTTTGCTACTCGAATCTGTTGCTGCACTGGGCAGAGCAGAGGTGGTGACTGAATTCAGAAATTGTGCGGTTGTTTGCCTGGCTATGCTACAAAATTTTCTTAGTGTACTCGGTATCTATCAATTAAAATGATTCGCATTTATAAAGCCCTTCAATCTCAAAGGATCCCGAACTTTACAGACAAGTGGGATCCATTTCATCAACAAGTGGTGTGCAGCTGCCACCTGGGTGATGCACAGCAGCCATTCTGCACCATCAGCCCCACTCTTGATTCATGAGTATACAGTATGTGAAACCTCACTGAAAGTTAACACGTCTGCTGTCTCTTCTTGGGGAAGCCCTTTAAGGAAGCATCAGCTGAGCATTGACTGCACGGCAATAAGTGGAGATCAGATTGTGTCGTTATGAGAAAATAGGTTTAAGGCTCTATTGTCACATTTTTAGGGACACCGGCAGAAAGTTAGGCTACAATTATCACGCTTGCACTGCAGGAGGAAGGTGACAAGGTCTTTGACAGGCCGAGAGACCGATATAACACAACAATCACTGGGTGGACATGAAGTGACATTACAGAGGATCTGAGGCCAGTCTTTATCTTCCTACATTGTTAATCAACAACATAAAAGCACATGAGAGAAGGAGCATGCAGAGCTATGAAGAAACCACTACTTTAAAGAGGTCTTGTGTTTCTGGGGAAAATTGCCCTGCCATTTTGTTATAAACAATGTAGTGGGAGCTTCTAGGAATCTGAAGGCTAAAAGCTGTCCTGTAGATTAGGAAACCACAGGCAGCCAAATGGCTTGTTCTTATTTGTGAAGATTTCTTGTGAAGTGTTCTGAGAAATATCCTGGTATTCTATGTACAGTTGTAGACACAGAGCAAACATTTCACATGTCAACCTCCAGTATTGTTCAGACTAGGGCTTATACAGCCTCAGGTGGCAGGGACAGGAGAGCCTTGCTATGAGAAACTTCAGACACCTTATCTCGGTTTCCAATGTTTCGCCCAGGCAGCTCAGACTCTGTTTACATCCTTTTTTCCTTTGAGTGTGCCATTGAAGCATATTTCTGAAACCCTTAGCTTCATTTCAGGAACCAGCACGTTCTGCTATTTTCTGTAAAAACACCCAGGATCACCAGTTTACTTCAGAACTCAGGCTAATTCTGTCACAATCGCAGAGAGACCTGGCTAAGACAGCTTGTGTGTTCTATAAAAATACACCTAGACGCCCTACCCCCCCCCAAAAAAATGATTCGGTTATGATTTGTCAACATTCCATATCCACATACTGTATTAGTTAGTAATGTAAAAACAAGGCAAACAAAATAAGCAAATCTCTCCAACACCCCTATTGCATTTGTTCAAGGCTATTTTTCTAAATTCTTCATTATGCTTCCACTCCCAACCCATTAAGCCGAATAGTTCCTCTTGCTCTTCTATTGTGGTGCTGCCCATACTGTGCTGTGTGGTCTTTCTATCAGGTCTATCCTTCAGTTTTATTTGAACACTCTACCTGATGCTGGACTGTTGCAAACTTTTCTTTGCAGCTTTCTAGGAGTTAAGAGAATGCTGTTGCATGTGGTACAGTTGGGCTATGCCCCCTGGACAAAGACATCAGTCCAATTAATTACACAGGAGAAAGGGGGAGAAGAAGAGCTAGTGGTTATTTTGAGATCAGAAAGGCTTCTGTGCGTCTGGGACTGGGTTCCCCCTCCTGCCGGATGATGTCACAGGCACTGCCTCTGTAAATTCCAGGGTTACTACAGAACCCAAACACCTCAGCGCAACAGGATCCAGCATGCAGACATATCAGCCCTCCAGCTGGTGTCCTGGAGAACAACCCCATTACCCGAAGAGCTCCCAGTCACCTGCCTGTTCAGGCAAGCACTCCAGATTTCTTGCATCTGACTGAGGCTTGCACAAGGAGAGAAAAAAAAAAACAGATGACATTATCCTGTTCGTATGTATGCTTTTTTTAGACCCTACCACAGATGCAGAACTCGATACTTCAGCGAGAGACATTAATATTCATGCCCAAGTGACTTAAATTTGCTCATTAATATCCCCAATATCAGGTTCTTCAGGTACGCAATTATGGGCAAATTTGCCTGCATTTACAAACCAATTTCCATTCAGTCAGCACACTGTGAAATCTTGGATAAGTCTATTCTTTGTTCATTTGCACCTGCCGGGTCCTGATAAATTAACACCATCATCATTCTAGCCTCTACACTAGGAGACTGTCCCCCTGCAGTGCGTGTGGCAGCAGTCTGTCGATCAGCAAAGAGCACCGCAACACATCTGTGCATTTCCTACTGCCAGCTATTTCAGATGCTCTGTAATTTCTGTTTCAGAAAGCGGGGGCGTAAGCTCACGCTCTGTAAAAATAAACTTCAGTGTCACATCTTCTCTCCTAGCTCGCCCTCCATCCTTCTGGGTCGTGTCATTCCCGCCAGGAGAGAGAAGCCAGACAAGAACCCCCACCCCCATTCTCCCTCTGCAGTGCCTAGGAAAAGCAGGAGCCTCGTTTCATTTGGGACACGACTTCAGCTGGAGGCAAAAAATCAAGCGCTGCAGGATCCCGATTACAGCAGGCTTTACTGGTGCTGGCAGGCACAAAACAGAAAGTACAAACCAGAGATCACAGTGGTTAAAGAGGCTGCACTGGTGCAACTGCAAGATTTAAGACAAACGTAATCCTCCGAGATCAGAATGAAAATGATAATACTGCCCATTTTTAAACTTTAAACCACAACAAGTTGAAGATCCATCCACTTCCTATTTAAAGTTAGAAGTGCCTCTTAATCTGGTTAAGCCTGTGCGCTTGGGGCGAACAAATCTGGAGCCCCAGGGAGTGCGGTGTGCAGAGCACAAGCAGTGGGCGACTCAGGAGCGGCGCACTTGTGAAAGAAGTGAGAAATTTGTCTTCATATGACACCCTGGCAAAAACAAGAAGCGCAGAAATTTGCGCCTCCGAAAAAAAAAAATCAAACCCTTACATTCCGGCAATCCGAATGTCACTGTTTCTTTGCACCATCACTTGCCTGCTCTGGCTTAGACTTGCACACAGAAAATGGAGCAGGAGAATGAATGCTGGTCACGGCCCGGGCTCGGAGATTTAAATGCAGCATGTCTCTTGGACATGGAAGTTTCTAAGGAGCAACAGTGCCGCTTGGGCCCAACAAATGGCCTCCTGAGAGTCGGCAAGCAAGGATTTCTCACAAACAAGAAAGCGTTATCACTGCAAACTGATACAAGGCTGAAGTGCTTCACCTTGATTTTGTAGCAGGATGATTACTGCTGTTACACTCGTAACATATCGACGGATCTCTCAGTTTACAACATACCCCCTTTATTGCTAACGTTATCAAGGTTGCTCTTAAATTATTCATTCAGGAAGTCAATATTCTAAGCTTTACTGCTGTTAAAAAGTCTAAAATAAAGTAAAGAAAGGAACTTCAATTAAGGGTTCGACTATTTAGTGCCTCTGCTTCTAATGCCAGAAATCCAAGCAGACAATAACAACAATTCACACAAGCTCCCCAAAAATCACAAGATATAATAAAGATTTCAACACGCCACTAACTCTCAGCCAGTCTTAGTTTCCCCATCACAGACAGGGCCCATAGGCCCACGGGTCACTGCCAGTGCACAGCACAGCAGGACAACAGTGAAACAGCACTGCCAATAAAGAAGCATAAACTTCCATGGCACCACTGCAAAAGCTTTTAATACTGTAGCTAAACATCGACTTGAAATACGGGCTCAAAGGGGCTCAACTAGTGAAAGGTTTGTTCAGCACAAAGTCTGGGACTATCAGTCCCGGAACATCAGTCCCTGACTGGGCTCTACTTTTAGCCCCTAGCTGCCTGGGGCTCCTCAAGAAGGTGTGTGCAGCTGGCTGCAGAACTGCGTGTGGATTTGTGGATGCTCTTAGCTTGCTGTGCCATATATCCAATTGACTAGCCTGTTCAGAGCATTTTTAGAGGGATGTCTGTAATCATCCCCACAGCTCGCGAGCCTGTAGTGTGACCACCGACAGTCACTTCTGTCCTCTCCACTGCTGGAAAGAAAATAGCCCGGACAGGCAGTGGCAGCCATACCTACTGTATGGGGTCTTCATCTCCTCTTTCCTGGTTTCAGCGGTACTCTGGTTCTCTTAAGAACTGGGTATTCTTAAAACAGGATGGGGGTTCACAAAAGGGATGTCAAGAAAATTTCAAACTGAACACTGTCTTTAGAATTAAGAAAGGTCAGGATCTTATGGCTTTTCCCATTACTTCAGGAATCAGTGCGTCCCACAGCTTGCTAACCTACGGAACGTCTTAGGCCAATGCTGATTACACTTCAAATTACTTCAAATACCAACACATGGGAAAGCATGGCTTGAAAAGGAGGGAGAGCACTGAAAGCTTCTGACATGCCTACGGCTCGGCTAGACACACACGTACAGCAGCCTAGCAGTCTTACTGTCAAGACCAAAAGCGAAACAAAACTGGTTATGAGAGCTGCGGTGTTGATGGTTAAAAAAAAACAACAATATCACAAGTTAAAATTCAGTGAGAACGAGATCTAAGCGGTTTACTGAACGGCAGCCTCAAGAGTCGAGCGTCTCCTCCACCTGTTCGCCCAGCTATTTCACCTCCACAAAACATCCAACAGCTCCCAACTACAGCTTCCCCGACAATTAACACAGATCACATGCATTTTAAGCACATAACCCCTCCCACTCGGTCTGATGCAGCCAATTACAGCACATTTAAATGCAAGGCTCCTCCCTTTTATTCAGGTTTAGCCAATTACAGCATATTTAAAACAGAAGGTTTTTTCCTACGTGTTAAAGTCCAAACAATTACAGACATACCCATTGCTATTTAAACCTAAGACAAAATGAGATCTATAATGCCAACAACACAAACGACTCATGCTCCCAATCAGGAGATTACAGG